AGTCTGAAGGTGAATGTTTCAGTGCGAGTACGTTAAAAGTATATGGCTCCTCCTTCATGGAGAGGACTTTCACTGATACTGCATACCTGGATATGCTAGAGAACTTTCTGATTCCACAGATCAACAGACAAACACAAAAATTGTAAGTTTCCAGCACAATGGTGCACTTTATTTTTGTATGTAAGTGCTTCAATTTCTCTGTTGTCATTTCCCAGTTCAGTGGATTGGGCTAAATCTGTTGCATGGTCATCTCACTCTCCCTACTTAACTCTGGTGGACTTCTTGTGAGGATTTGTGAAAGACTGTTTTCTTCCCACTTTTGCCATTGAATGCCAAAGGCCTAAGGAAAAGGATAGGAAATTCTGTTGCAGGTATATGCCTGATATCCTACATCATGTCTGGGAAGAGAGCATTAGCTTTTTGTCGTGTAATGGCTGGAAGCTACATTGAAGTCCTGTAGTTCCTAAAACTCAATGTGTATGGCTATATGTATGACCATGATCTGTCATTTTCTGTATGTCAGTATGTTTTTACATTGTATTACACTGCAACATCCTGTTGCACTGTGTATTCTAACTTTTGTGTTCTCAGTCCTTGCTGTCTTTATGCAGTTTTATCGATATATTAATCACACATTTTTGTCTCTCTTATTATACAACACTATATGTTTCAGCCTAACTGGCCATCATCAGATGTATAAGATATTGGATTGAAGGAACCTGCTGCTCTCTTCTTATGCTGTTCTGCTTTTCATTTTGATGTAATGCTTCTAAAAATTGTAGGTTATATATTAGATTATCATGCCATTGTTACGCATCTATCAGGTGTATCTGTAATATGTAATGGGTTATATTAGTGTTTTACTTTCAAGATGCATACGAGTATATTATATATGTTCGGCCTCTGCATTTGTGATGGTACTTTCGTTTTTGTTGATGTTTTGGTTTGTCCTTTTGTGCCATGTGTGGCTGTTCTGAGTGTTTTCTGTAGAAGTGGAAGCTTGCTCCTGACAACCAGTCAGTGCAGTCACTTTTAGTGTTTCTGTATAGGGTGTAGGCCATGTGTGCTGCTAGCTGGTGTTCATTTCCTGCAGGCTCTGAATATTGGGTTATACAAGTATGTGTCTAGGTTTGTGTGATTCATTTGCAAGTTATTTTTGCTGATCTTATGTATGTGGTATTATTACAATGTGGTTTCCGTTTCTGTGTATCCTTATGATGTCTACAGTATCTGTTACGGTTCCATATTTATGTCCTGTGTTTAATATGTGGTTTGAGTATCCTGAATTACTATTATTATATCTAATTGCTTTTATATGTTCTTTGTATCTGGTGTGGAATGGTCTACTTGTTTGTTCAGCATATTTTAGTTGACAGTCTAAACATTTCATTTGGTGTATGCCACTTTTGTTGTATTTGTCTGTTTTTCACTGTAATATTGTGACATATAGACCCATTGCTAAGCAGTGACTTTGTAGACAGCAGCCATTGCTAGGTAACACCCACAAAATAGACGCATACAACAGAACAACAGGGTTATGTGATTCATTTCTAAGCAACAGCTCAGTAAACACTTTTGCGCAGAAATGAACACGAGCAACAATAGAAGAACGGTGTTTTCTGTTGGGTCTGTCTTGAAGCTATATAATGAGGATCCCAGGCCAGCTGAGTGAAATGAAGTAGTTAGTTAGTTAGTGAGTGAGTTAGTTGAGGGTTGGCAGTTCAGTGGAGTTCTGTATGGGAGGCTGCAAAGAAAAGAGTTAGTTGCAAGAATGTGGGTGTGATAAGATTTTATGTAATACTTGTACTTGGAGTGTGTAATTCAGTGAGACTGTTACAGTTCCTATGTTAAATCTGTTGCCAGAAAACAGCTACTGGAGACTGTGACAGACTCAGGACACTAGTCTGTGTGTGTCAGTGATCTGTAAAGTGTAGTTCTGAGTGGTGTATACAAGTGGTTAATAAATCTAATATCCAATCCATATCCTGCCTATAGTCACACTTATAATTCGTGACAATATTATATTTCAGTATCCTGTTGCATTGATGTTTCATTTTCCGTCTTTAATACAGCTCTGTTCAGTCTGTCGTTACTTTAAAATAATACGAGGGCAAATCGAAAAGTCTTTGTCCCTATTTTTTTCAGCCACAATAATACACATACAGGTAAATCAAAATACAGGCAGTGTTCTAAGTACATCTGACTATTTTTTCACATAGTCACCACCCTGGTTCAGGCATTTGTCCCATTGCACCACTAGTTTGGAGATGCCGCTGTTGTATAATTCGGCTGATTGAGTGCGGAACCACTGCCGGACAGCGGTTTTCGCGTCATCGTCAGAAATGAACCTCTGGCCTGCCAGAAACTTCTTCAGTGGACCAAACACATAATCACTGGGGGCGAGGTCTGGACTATACGGTGCATGCTCCATAATCTCCCATCCGAATGACTGCAGTCGGGTGGCAGTCCTGTTTGCCACATGAGGCCTGGTGTTGTCATGGAGGAGAACCACATCATCCACGAGTCCCCAGGCGCAGCTCGCAGAAATGCAAGTGTGCCACAATAGCTGTCCGCATTGATGGTGGCACCTCGTGGCATGAAATCCCGCAGGCGTGGTCCTCGGTGATCCTAGAAAACCGTGATCATCAACTTCCCGACGGATGGCGTTCTGCAGAATTTCTTCATGACAGGTGAACTGGGGTGTTTTCACACCAGGTTCTGCTGCTTGAATTCTGGAGTGAAATGCAATACCCACGTTTCATCTTCGGTGACAATGAAATCCAGAAAAATCCACTGAAGAAGTTCCTGGCAGGCCAGAGGTTCATTTCTGATGACGTGAAAACCGCTGTCCGGCGGTGGTTCCGCGCTCAACCAGCCAAACTCTACAACAGCGGCATCTCCAGACTAGTGGTGTGACAGGACAAATGCCTGAACCAGGGTGGTGACTATGTGGAAAAATAGTCAAAAGTACTTAGAACACTGCCTTTATTTTGATTTCCCTGTATGTGTACTGTGGCTGAAAAAAATAGGGGCAGACTTTTCGATTTGCCCTCGTATTAAAATCACCATCACTGCTACATGTTTCAGCCATCCTCAGGCAACTCTTCACTTTTTGAAACTGCACACTGCACTAATTCTTAAGTTAAAATATTTCACTGCTACTGCATTTTAGTCATTCATGCTAAAATACATTTGTTTAAGAACATTAACTCTCTAGCCTTTCCTATGCTATTTTCCTCTTACAGCATCTTTTTTTTTTTTTTTTGTTAGCCCTATGAACATCAGTATGTATGTTCCAACTAGTTGAGTGTACATCACTTTTTGTGTTTACTAATTAGTTGCTACTTGATATTTTATGTTCCTGTGGATGGCAGGTGTCATTGGGTATTATGATATCTGTTTGAGTGGGTTTTCTGCATATTGTAAATTTGATCTCTTTTTCCCTGTGGTATAGTGAAAGATCAAGAAAGTTAATGGAGTTGTGTAATTCTTTTTATAGTGACTTTATAATGGGTTGTTTGTTGAATTTGGTCAATGTTTTGTCTTGTGTTTTCTTTTGGGCATAGCTTAAAAGAATGTTATCTACACATCTATAATATTTGGTGTTGTATTAATATTGGATTTGTGTTGCATGTTTTGAATATGTGCTTCAGCTGATATTGCAGCACCCATAGCTAGTCCATCTGCTTGTAATATTTCTGTTCCATTACTGTTTTTAGTATGTGTATTATTTCCTTCTTGTCTATTTTCATAGATTTGTAATATGTTGGTTATTATACCTGTAGTTTCTATTTTGGTATGTTAGTGTACATGTTTTCTATGTCAAATGAACATATTCTCACATCTCTGCTAATTTTTATGGTTTAGATCTGTAGTTAGATACATGGAGTTTTGTATATTGTATGCATACAGCAGATGTAGGTAGTTACATAGTGTTTCTGTTAAATTTTTGTTCGCTAATTCGTTTTCTGTTTATAATGTAAATTATATTTTAGATATTTACTTCTACAATCTTTGAAAGCTGTGTGGGAGCCACCCACACTGAATCAAGCACTGGTCGATCAGTGCGGACCATGGTGCATGAACCAATTGGTGTTAGAGCTGCTGTAGTCTGCACTGATTGGCCAGCACTTCATTCAACATGGGTGGCTCCCACAGCTGTAAAGCTACTTTATGCTCGCCCTGTGTTATTTTCCCATATTTAGTGAATTTTGATTTAGTAAAGAACCCATGTTTAGTATAATTAATTCAACTGTCAATTCTCAATTGGCTGGATGTTAAATTACTGCTGGCCCTCACCAGCACAGTGAGTCTTGGTTTTGAGTCCCATGAGACTCATGACCATATTTTACTGTTTAATGGCTCTGGGAGCCTTCAGCACAACTCCAAGGCTATGTAAAGAGGACCAATAGAGCAGTTGAGAATTGACACAAAATCAATTATCAACTGGTCCATTGGTCCTACCTATATATCCTTGGCTTTGGCCAAATAGAAAACACCATTTCCAGCAGTTCCTCTATTGTCATGTGCATAAATGGTATCATCACATGTTTACTGTGCCAAAACCTAGCAAGAGATAATTTCTTTCAGTTATGACATCACACTATCTTTAAAACTATATTTTAGTCACTGCTATATCTTTAATAGGCTTCAGAATACAGGGAGATGAACTTTAACCAGCAAATCAAAACTTGATCTTTTTCACATTTTGAAATAATAATTCATAAATCATTCACTCGGAGTCTACCAAATTTCAATAAATTCTATAAGATGGAAATTTTTATGAATTGGTTGATCTGGCTAAAATCTCAAAAGTGTGATCTGAGCTTCATATAAACAGTAGTTACATCGGACAGGTATGTACCACAAAGAAATTCATCCAGCAAAATGCTAATGCCAATTTAAAAGTCCTTCAGTTATTATGGAGATAAAAACTACACAAATAGGCATAATCACATCACTATGTTTTATGCACTTAAGCAAAGAAAAACATACACAGCTGTTAATGCAGTACTTTAATATTTTAATGCAAAGATACATATTCTTATCCTGATCAATGATGATAAACATGTTTTACAAATATATTCAAGGGAATTAAATATGAAACTGCTTTCACTCCTATGCAGGTAATACTTTACAAAGTCAGGAACTCATGAGCCTTAGTTTCTAGTAGCAGCTCCATGGAATTAACATCCTTGCACCAGCAATCCAGACGCTGAACCATGGAAGATATCTGCAACAAATCACAAATATGAAGTAGACAGAACAGGAGCAACTGCATCTTTCAAGTAACTCTTCACTGTTACTTTCAAACTCAGCCATCTGACATAATCCTGAACCACTTCTGTCTAAGTTCATATTCACTCATGCTATTATTTTCCTGAGATCAAATTTTAGCATTATCCACTGATATCTTACAAAGGGGTGCCCACACCCCATTCTATATTGTCACATGTCCAGGGTTCCATGACAAATAACTGTGGTTTGTAAGATTTGATTGTTGCATTTACTGGACATGCTACACATTTACACACAATTTAAAAAAAAAACACACACACACACACACACACACACACACTGTGTCCCCTCAACCAACACTTCTGAACTCTCTGGGCTCTTCCTTCAATTCTGACCTCTTTCATGTTGCTTGGCTTACCAAGTAGGGAACACCAAATTGCACAGTTGATCTCTCCATTGTCATGAAACCATTTCTTCTGTTGCTGTGAGAATAAGCATTTACATGGCTGTTATCATGAAAAATGTCACCTTTGTTGGGCAGGAAACGTGGCTACCGGGCCGTTGTCTAGCAATGGAGTCCTGCTCTGACTCAGATATTCCAGCTTTTAGATGGCACATCACAATATCTACTTCTTGTTGTCCCAACCTAAGCTACATATCCGTATTACTACAGCACATGAACTAATCCAATTCATATCTGTTTTAGTATCATACCTGTTGTTTGTCTAGCACTCTGGGCTGTACCCATGTCATGTGTACATTGCAGGCCACTTGGTCAATAGCTCCACGTACCAACCCCTGTGCTAGAGCTTTCATCACTAACAATTCAACCTCATTCAGAGGCAGACGTGTTTCTCGAGATATCTCCTCAAAGGTTAACTGTCGGTCTGTGGCAGGTCGCTTGAATGTCATCTGCAACAAAGGGCAATAAAGGCTAAATAATGTATGTCCCATGAATGCTTTCTGGATGGGTGGATGTGAAGCTTTACACATTCTTAATGTCTTATGTAACTGGAGGTGAGTGGTAGTGATCATATTCATGCTTCACTCATCATTATTGCTAGTACCTATAGAAAAGGTAGATAGCCTTCATAGCTGTTTGGAATGACCAACTGCACTACAATGCACAATACATGTACCGAGTTTCCAAACATTTTATGTAAAAAATAAGTTGTAGCCATTAAATATGTAAACTTCTGCATCACTAGAAATTAAAAATCATCACTGAGTATTCTTTTTAAACTATTCCAATGTCATGTCAATGATTACATTCACAACTGAGCTTCTAATCATTTTGAGAAGCTGACAGTTGCCCCACTTTCTATACAACACAAATTCTCATTGCTGTCTTCACAATATCCTACCATTGGTCCCCAACTTAGCCAAGTGAATCAAGGCATATCTTATTTATGTATGATTCATCTGAATATAATCCACCTATACTTGGGTTTTCCAAGTGACCAATTCAGGTTTTCTGACTGAAGTTCTGTATGGATTTCTCACCTCTGCCATTTCTTTTCAGTTTGTATTGTTAAAATCTCATGAATCAACACTTCTATTGCTTCATGTGGCAGAATCACTTAATGTGATCAGTCCTACTGAATGCACTTCATAAATATCCACTTTAAAAGTGATAATTTCTGCGTTTCTTACTTCCATCAGGCAAAGAAGAGAGATTTTCTGTCGCAGTTTTAGCTCCTGTGCTGCCAAGTCAGCAATACTGGACCACTGGGGCTTCATCTTCTCAAACAGGACAATGTCTCCAGTGTTAAAAGCATACAGGAGATCTACTAGCCATGCCTTGTCTGTAGACTTAAGCATTTCCAGGACTGGATGAGCCAGCTGCAACAGGGACATTCATACTTCTATATCCAACCTAAACACTGCTTAGCCCTTTAATTGTTACAAACAAAACACTTCTGCCACATGTAAATAAATGCATGCTATGCATTACAGACAGAACTGTTGCACTATATATACAATGTGCTGTGATGTTCATCTTTGTATCGAGGAATTTCATAGAAAAAAATTAATGTGTTAGAACTTTATCTTCGGGTTAAAAAACACATTCATAGTACAGCAATGAAATACTGCACTGATGAAACAATTTGTAAATCAAGTGCATACTGTCTAATGCGAAGCTGAGAGAATTGGTACTTTTCTACAGTGAAGTGCAATTTTGAAAACTACTCAACATTTTGGTGTGATAGGTGCATGCATGTCTTCAATTTGAAGATAATAGCTGTTCTTTTCTATCTCTCGTCCCTTTTCTACTCACCAGTTCTCCAAGGTTATATACACCTTCCCCAAGGAGAGCGGCAAGACCAAGGAAGAACGCATGTTGCTCCTGTTCACTTTGATTCAAGTCAGACAGTTCCACACAACCCAAGTACCTGAATAAGTGAAGATTAAAACAGTATTTTTCATAGTTCAGCAAAAACAGTTATTTCCATCATCACTGACTAACTCTTATTATCTTATTATTCAAAGCCAACCTGTTACTGACATTACACAACAGAGTCTTTGCATCATTTTGGGTGTGTTCCTAAGCATTCTCTAAGTTTGTACTTGACAATTCTGGAGGGTACACTACCAGAGCTCTTCAATTCAAAATGTTCCTTCAGACTTCTCCTGTCTATATCTTTTGTGACTGACAATGATGTAAGTTGTCACTGGATAACTGTAAAAATAATGCTGGAAGAAATGTTAGCATGCAAAATCTAACCAAATGCTCAAAAGGTATGAATCAACTGATGATCAACAGACAATATGTCTCTCCCTTCCTGAACATTCAAATGTTTGTTATTTTGGGAGGAGGAGAGTATCTGTCCTTGGAGTTAATTTTCAATAATTCCTACCTCACAGTAGTTATTTTTAGAGGAATTTCTTCAAAGTTAATGAGATTTCCTATTTATGCAGAGTACACTTGAGAAACCAGCAAACCAAACAGGCTGGTCTAGAGGCAGCACTCTTAGAATTATGTTTGGGAGATGCCTGGTTCAAATCATGGCTGAGGCAATGGCTACCCTTACTGAAGTTTCATGTGATTTTCCTTGGCCCCTCCAGGCAAATTCCAGGACAGTTCCACAATGAGGCCACAACCACTTCCTTCCAATTCATCCATCATCCTACCATCTGACACCACATACACTTCATACTGAAAGCATCATGAAATAAAAAAAAGTAAAGCTATCCCTGTACCAGGTCATGAAGGCCCATCGGGTTGTGAGACATTGAGGGTCCCACATTGTCTAGACAATCGGCTCAAAGATGGCGGTAAGGTTGTCAGCCTTACGTGCCGCCCGCGCTTTACTTCCCAGGAAAATTATTTAATTAATTCCTGGTACTCATTTCTGTTAGAGGCTGAGTAAACCCCAGGGCCTAGTGTGGCTGGAAGGATTAGGTCAACTGAAAAACATCCAATGACCTCATGTTGATTTGAACCCACGACCTTCTGTCTTGTAGCGTGGCACCTCAACCACTACGCTACCGCGTGCCCCCATCATGAATAACCCACAAGAAATAAAAAAAAACAACCAACCAACCAACCTTAGAGCTGTATGGTAATAGTCTGCATGCTTCCCTTGTAAGCGATAGAACTGGCTGGCAAGGAGGTAGTACCGGCCATGCACTGATGTTATACCATCTGCATCATCCAGGATTTTCTCTACATCTTCAATCACTCTCTGTAAAATTACATCACACCAAAATATACATGTCATGTGTTAGTGACTATTCATGAGGTTTTGATAGAATACTGAATGCTTATTATATGTAACTACAAACAGGTATAGAACTTTCACTAATCTACACACTATACAAATAACTATGGCACAATGCAAGACTTCCCAGTCTATGTATTCATGTACATGTAGCTTGTTAGCAGTTTCTAATAACGGAGATTACTTTTGCTCTCTCATGCTCACTAACTTCCGACTGACTGTCCTGTGCAGAGCAATTTTTTTCTGCTGCTGGCCATTGTCAGCACAGTCATTCTTTGTTCTGGGCTCTCTCAGGACCCACAACCACACTCCTGTTCTTTTCAAGACTACTTATGTGTTTGGAAATGGGGCCTCCTCTTTGATGAGAAGAGGGATCTGACTACTGTCCCTCTCTGACTGTCCTATCAGTTGGTCAGGAAAACTGCTGCTGGCTCTTGCCAACAGTCATTCTTGGTTCTGGGTTCCATGGAACTCATGACCATAGTTTTCTGTCTCTCAACTCTGGTAGTCATGCAACTGTCCTGTCTATCTGCCTGGTAAATTGCTGCTGGCCCTTGCCAGCAGTGTCAGTCCTCAGTTTGGGCATATTTTTCTCTCTCAAAATTGTCCTGTTGGTAAACCAGCTATATAAATTGCTCCCGGTCTTCACCAGCAGTTATTCTTGGTCCTGGGTCATGTAGGACTCATTACATATTTTTCTGTCTCACAACTTTGGAATTCATGCAACTATTCAAGCTGTCCTGTTGGCTGGTCAGGCAAACTGCTGCTTGCCAAAGCCAGCACAGTCATTCTAGGTTCCAGGTCTCACTGGACTCATGACCATATTTTTCTGTCTCATGACTCTGGGAGGTGACTACCTGGTCCTGTTGGTCATCGTGTAACTTTGGCATAGGCATCATAGCCCACCTCTGTGTTGTCTAGTGGTCAGAATTCCTGGCTACAGATCCAGAGGTCCGGGTTTGATCCTGGCACTACCAGATTTTCTGAGAAATGGTGGGTCTGGAATGGGGTCCACTCAGCCTTGCGAGGATAACTAAGGAGCTATTTCAAGGAAATAGAAAACCGAAATTAACGGCCATGGGGATTCGTTGCACTGACCACATGGCACCCTCTATCCGCAAAAAGTTTGCACTTACTTCGCCGACAAGCAGCGGTCACTCGCTCAGTCACTAAAGGGTCAACAGACTTAAATCTCTAATACCTTGATCACTCTTTATTAAGGAAGTGACAAATGTGTAAATATACTTGGGTAGTGGATATCCAGTTGAAACACCACACATGTTAGAGGAATACATTAAAGTTTCTTTTTAATTATGTGAGGGGTATGAATTACAAAGAAAATATGAGAGTACAAGCCATAAATGTAACTGATTATCTTTGAAGATTATTGTCCTCTGGGATGTGATAATACGTAGCCCAGCAAAAGTTCACAGACATCTGGCAGGAACATACTGCCTCCATCTTCGAGGTAAAACATCGGTCAACATTTAGCAGACTACACAATGTGACAGTCTATGAGAGACTAATCTTCATTAGTCACTACTTTGAGAACTTCCAGTCTCACATGATTACCTTTGTTCCTTCTTGGTCTCCCAACTGTTCTAATAGAATCTGGCCACTGAGAACTTTGCACAATGCAACAGCCTCATTACTGCCCTTCACTTTTGCTTCTGTCTTCTCCAAGAACTGAATGGCTTCTTTCTTATCTTCAAACTGCACTATAATGTGTGCAAGTATCTCAACTAGAGACAGAGGATTTATTCTGAAAATTATAAACACAATTCACTATACACTCGATATTACATAAAGGAAATAACTGAAGACATATTTCTGGAGATTTCTATGTCAGATCCTTTTTTCTTTAATGACACTGTTAATTGTATAGTATCTGTGTGTCACATGGGCAATGGTAGGATAACTGAATGATGAATTGGAGAGGGTATGGAAGGAAGTAGCTGTAGCTTACAAAAACCTAGAGGAAATACATTCAGTCTCTGGAACAGTCAAACTCTGGACCACCTGCCAGAAGTGCCCTGCACAGGTGCATTAGGCAGGGACCCAACTTCTTTCTTATTCCTGACATGGGGTAAGACTGAGTCTCTTGATACTGGAGCTGCAAATAGACTTATTGTAACACTCCAATTCTGCCAATACAGCTGTTCAAACATCTACTCCACAGATGCTGAGGCATGTATGAAATAAATTACTGGCTAAATACCTGTAGAGCCATGAAAGAAGCACATATGAAAATTTACTAACAGAGGTCACAACTTCAATGGCTCATTCTTTAACAGTGTAAAACAGTTAACAAAATATAGCATCTAAAAACTCTGATTTCCTGTGACAATCTATTAAATTCCTGATGAGGTGATTGGATTTTTCGATTGAGCTAATCCTTCAAACTGCAGTATGGCCCTGGGGTTGACTCAGCCTCTAATAGGAGTTGAGTACTAGGAATCTTCCTGAGGGTAAAGGGCAGCTGGTGCAAAAGGCTGATAACCTCACCATATGTGAGCTGAATATTCAGAATTTGTGGAACCTCAATGTCTCACAACCCTATGGGTCTTCACAGCCTGTTATAGGGATAACTTCACCTTTTACAACAGAAAGTATAAGTTTATATAAATATTCACATCACACCACTGTCAGAATTCACAGCCCATGCAGGCAACAGAAATTAAAAAAAATGCAACATAAAAAAATTAATTTAATTTAGTTACCAGCCATGCACCTACCTTAACCATAAAACAATAATGAAATGCATAAGATTAGATGGTATCACATAATCTTCTGTGGTTATTACTACCATTCTTCTCTTGCATTTCTGGTTTCATAAGATACTTCCAGTAAAATCTTGTCATCAGACATTATTCCTGATACACATATGTTTGAATAATTACTAGCATCTTCTAGGAAAGTATTTACTACTTGGCAATGGGTTAATACATCACATGACACACCTACACACAAACTTCACTTGAGACATTTCAATACATCAGAATAGGGAGGGGGGTTACTTTGCTGGCAATCAGCTCCTTACAGAATTTTTACTGTATTAAATACTGAATATCAGCTTATACTCACTTATTCTCAAACGCATGAATAAAATTGTTATACAACTGAAGAAGATTATTCCCTTTCTGAAGTGACTCATGTTTCACAAACCTCTCCAATTTCAATGTTAACTGGTGCCATAATCTGAAACAACAAAGTATCATGACAAAATATAAACTGTTCTCATGGTGACTCAATGGCGACTGTGGGCTTCGATCATCATTTTGGCTACCTTTTTCTTCAAGGAATACTGCAGCACCTGATGGGGATTGAACTGTTTGAGTCATGTCAAATGGCTTTGCTATATATATATATATATATATGTCACTTTTCTTTATGAAGCTTTTACATTTTCACCTTCAACATAACACACAAGTGCTTGATCCATACTTTTATTCCACTTTTCCTTCTTTCATTTTCTATCTTGTTTCCCTACATCCACAGCCAGCAAGACTTGTCAATATGAATCCAACAAATACAGAAACAGTATGCTCTTAAAAAGTAAACTCTAATGTGGCAATGTATTGACTCATTAATTATTTTGAATATTTTCTGATGATACTCTTAAAACTGCCTGTGAAAAATGCTGATGAAACGGGTACAATTTTAGGCAAGATTTGTCAAAGAGGTTAACACAATGGAAACTACTACATATCTACATACACACAAACATATACATAAATACATGCACACTTACATCAAGTCAAAAGTTTTAACCTTGATCTATGCAACATATGGGCTATGTAGGAAATGAGGTTCTAGCAGCAGTGGTTAATGTATAATACTGTCTTCTGGAACTGGAATATACAGTCCGTTGATAGTCAACGAACGTTTCGGAAGCACATAACGTCTCGATCCTGAGGTCGAATAAGCGGAGCAAGATATCGGCATTACAGCAGGTTGACTTTCAGCGGACTACAGGGAGTCATATCCCAGAAGACAGCACTCTTCAACATAACATGCTGCTTGATGTTTCAGTTTTTAATTAAGAGATGTACTGAGAGTTAAATATATTAGACATCAAAATCAGGTATAATTAATTTATGATCATGTACCCACTTCTTGTTATATAATTCTTCCAACTGAGCCCATTCCCCTACTACATCCTTATCAGATTCCTTACGCTGTTTAAACGACAGATAATCGCTAACATCCTTAAACGTAACAGCCGCCATGATTACGAGCTAAACACATTGTCTCCACGGTCTCTACGATCGACGACGGACTGCACAAATCTCGCACCAACATGATCCGAGCTTAGAGACGCCGTGAATGATCAAGGTAGCTTACATGTGTACGATAATGGTGCTACTAGTTGTAAAATGTGGTACTAAATAGGTCTCTGTTGTCTGTTCCTGTGGTAGTGATAATTACATAGGGCATATTTATATGAAAATAAAACTAGGCTGGAAGGCTTGTTTGTGGTGGTTCTTGATTTGAATTGTGTTTTATAGTAATTATATTGGAGAAATGATTATAAATGATCCAGAAGCTTTTAAATCGTGGCTGACAACTGTACTAGAACCTTTGTAAGTAGGCCAGAAGTTCTTAATATTGCAACCAATTATATACCATTATTACTGTGAATGGAAAGAAGAGTAAACCCCCAGGCCGAAATTAGCCAGCAGCCGATTCCGTTCATTGTACAGAAATAGAAACTTTGTATAATTTCAATAGCGTGATTGGTGCGCTTGATTGTACCGTAAGCCTACATCGGTTCATCCGATTTTTTTAAATATGTTCATGTAATATACAGCAAGTGGCATATGTATTTCAATATCATTGGTGGCGAATCCTCCCATTTGGGAACAGCTGCCTATTTTCTTATTTTAGAACAGAACAACTTCTGCTGTACAACAGAAATGTTATATAGAACTATAAGGTTTAATTTGGACTCTGTCCATCGTCTGGTATATATATATAAGACAAAAAACCACAACGTTTCAGAGATTGGATCTGTCTCCGTCCTCAGGTGGATGGGGCTAGATAGACCTACTCAGTTTGGCCCGTTAGAAAGAGCTGGTCTCAATCACTGGACCAGCTCTTTCTAACGGGCCCAACTGAGTAGGTCTATCTAGCCCCATCCACCTGAGGACGGAGACAGATCCAATCTCTGAAACGTTGTGGTTTTTTGTCTTATATGTACCAGACGATGGATAGAGTCCAAAATAAACCTTATAGTTCTATATAGCATACACCATCGTCAGAATCCTTTAAAGTCTATTAACAGAAATGTTGTTTCTACCATCTTCATAAACCTTGTTTAAAAACGTGGAGAATGAGAACTGGAAATAAAGAAGAGAGATATGAAATGTTCATATCAATGAGGTGTATCAAGAGTAAGCCTTTGTGATATGATGCTGTGTAGTCTGGTAAATTGGCAGCGGTGTTTTTGGAGGAACTCAAATCCCAGATGGTTATATCAACATGCCTATATAAGTTTCCTAAAACTTTAGAAGCTACCTCCAAAACTTAGGTCCCAATAAAAAAAAGAAAATACCTCAGGCGAGAAATCTTCAAGGTTTTGTTAACAAAAGACAACTGAAACTTTGCATAAATAATCGCCAGTTCTTTTGCACTTTAGGAAAACCCACCATGCTGTTGCTGAGTGTTGGGACAGGAATGATGGCAGGATGGACAAATAACATGAAAGAGAAGGATTATAGGAGAAAGAAGGGAGGGAGGTGAATGAACATAAGAATAAATTTACAGGGGTGATCAGATTGTTTTACTGTGAAGGAGGGGAAAAAGAAAGATGATAAGAGGGACAAATAAATGAGATGGGAAAGCATTAAGGGAGAAAGGAGGGAAGAAGATAAAGGTAGGAAAGGGATAAATAGTATGGGAAGGCATTAAGGGAGAAAGGAGTGAAGGAGATAAAGGTACAAAGGGGGAAAGAAGTAAATGATTTATATCAGTGGTAATATGGTAGCAAGAACACTTTGCAGTACCTAGTTCCAGGGCTTGCATATTAGCATAGCATGTATCCAAGAATGAGACTTGAGGCTACTGGACTGAATCTCCATCGGTATTTCATTTGTCAGGTCCCTTTACCATATAATACAGTTAAATTAGGTTGTAATTATTTATAATGGAATGAATGATAAAATAATGTGGAACTTAAGAAAAGTTGCAGCCATTGTGCCTTATATGCTAAAAGGGGGTAATCTTCATTCCATATCTGCCCATTATGGTTTCTACAAGACTATTTTTATGAGGATTGCCTATTTTTGTATGTTTATATTGAACCCTGTCTTTCATATGAGATTTGGTCAGTAAAATAATTCTTCCATCTCATTCTGGAGCATGCACATACACGTAAATTTAAAATTGCTGCTAATATCACAAGCTGTAATAGATTTATGAAGAGGTGAACAAGAACTCTGAATTCAGTAACAGCTTGGTTTAGGTCATGTAGTTGGTTTATTATATATTATGTTAGGTTTGTGTTGTATTAAACAGAAAAAATGATGGGAGGTTCTTAAGTAGCTGCACTGTTAGCATCTTCTCAGGAAGGACTCGGCTCCATGAGTTAGTGAGTGAGTGAGTGAGTGAGTGCTGTAATTTGTGTGATCTTACATTATTTTCTGTGTTTATTAAAAATATCCTTTGTGAAAATTGTTGATTTCTTGAAGAAGTATTGTCAGGGCTCCACAAATACCAGTCTCCAGGTTGCTACAGCAACAAGTATATTTTGTGGTAATGACCTGAATTTTTTCTCTATTCATGCGTGAAAATGTGTGTAACTTGTTGTTTGTAGTTCTAAGTCTGCCATGCAGATTTCGTCTTCAGTCAGTGTCAAAATGTCAGGCTTTCTCTTTAAACTACATAAGCAATTGACATTATGATATGAATCAATTGCAGTCAGTCCACAAATGGGGTACATATGCTGTATTTAAAGCCTGTTGAATTTTGTCATGTATTACCCTGAGTAATACTGGATGTATGGAAGTAACTATTCAGAAGATCTTAGCCACATTATGAAATGGATGTAAAAACAGGGTGTGTTTCATAATCTATGATGAATGTAGTTCCAAATTTTTTATACCCTTCCTAATTGAGCATCTTGGTGACATGAGTAACACTCCTGTGTCATATTCAGAAGGTTGAATTTTGAATTTTGGCCTAGAGACAGCTGCTGTGATAGAGTCTTGCGTGGTTTTTTCAGTTCCTCTGGTTAAATAGTTAATAGTACACCAAAATAGGCCATGACCACCTTCTACACTTTTTCCCATTTCATTCACTGATCATTCTACCATTTCACACCATATAGCCTGAGTTATTATCAGTGATGTTCAGTAAACCATAAATAAATAAAGAAGTAACTATCCATCCAAGCTTGTAATCTTCAAATGTGATGCCTGGCTCTGCAGAAAATTTATTGACTCTTGTCTGTCGGCACACAAAATTTATCTGGTAGAGAATGACGGTATTAGTGTTCCCATTTAAAAAGTTCACATTTCAGTGTTGTTGATAAGGAGATAAAGTAAGAAGATTGTGTGAACTACAGTGACTGGGCATTCATAAAGCAAAACAATTAAACTCCAAGGTTTTAGTCAGCAAGTGAACTATACTGACCAGGCATCCGCCACTTGGCAATGAAGTTAGTGCCAACTTTAGCCGATAGAGGGTGTCACGTGGTCAATGCATTGGATCCCCACAGCCATTAATTTCGGTTTTCTAGACTGGAGCCAGGAACTCTGACCACTAGACCAGAGAGGCGGTCGGCTGTGTATTAATACCATGTTTGATGGAAATAAGTCAATTATTATCCAGAATGTTGACATCTGTAATTATATATGTACTGGCACAGGGCTCACTAAGAGGGTTCTGAAGGAACAATTCACTCTGTAGCACGGCATCCATGGCAGACTTGAAGGCATCTGTGATGAGTGCAAGTGGCGCAGATGGATCAGGGTGAGCCAGTAGTGTGGTGCATGACAAACTCCCCTTGCACGCTTCGAAGGCCCTTTGGAGCTCCGGTGTCCAAGTGATGGGGTGGGAGCCCTTGACTTTGGGTCTGGTGAGGATGTCGTGAAGTGGTGCCTGGTGTTCTGCCATGTGGGGCAGAAATCGCCTGTAGTTGTTCAGCATGCCCAGGAAATGGCTATCGCCAAAACTGAGTTCAACACCATGTTATGTGATGGCACAGCTCACTGCTCGGAGAGTTCCTGGTCTTCCGCGCTACACTTTGTACCCAAGAAGGACAATGGTTGGCGTTCCTGTGGCGACTACAGAGCTTTAAACGCCCAGTCCAACTCCGACCACTACCTCGTCCGTCATATCCATGACTACTCCCACCAACTTTTTGGTTGTTCCGTCTTCTCCAAGATCGACTACAGAGCTTTAAACGCCCAGTCCATCTCCGACCACTACCTCGTCCGTCATATCCATGACTACTCCCACCAACTTTTTGGTTGTTCCGTCTTCTCCAAGATCGACCTGGTGAGAGCCTACAATCAAATCCCCGACCATCCTGATGATATACAGAAGACGGCCATCACCGCTCCATTCGGCCTATTCGAGTTCCCCTTCATGTCCTTCGGCCTGCACGGTGCTGCACAGACCTTCCAGCACTTTATGGACCACATTCTGCGGGGACTCGACTTCTGTTTTGCCTACCTGGATGATATCCTATCTTCTCCTGGTCTCTTGAGGAACATGAGCAACACCTATGGGCGCTCTTTGACCGACTGCAGAAGAATGGGATCCTCATCAACCCGGTGAAGTGCATCTTCTGAGTACCTGACATCACCTTCCTCGGTTATAAGGTGTCCGCCGAATGCTCCCAACCGCTGGAAGAATGAGTGACTCACCTTCAGGAATGTCAACTTCCTAAAACCGCCAGTCAGCTCCGCCGTTTCCTGGGCATGCTGAACAACTACAGGCGATTTCTGCCCCATGTGGCAGTACACCAGGCACCACTTCACGATGTCCTCTCCAGACCAAAAGTCAAGGTCTCCCACCCCATCACTTAGACACTGGAGCTCCACATGGCCTTCAAAGAGTGCAAGGCGAATTTGTCATGAGCCACACTACTGGCTCACCCCAATCCATTCGCGCCACTTGCACTCATCACGGATGCCTCCACGTCCGCCATGGGTGCTCCCACGTCGAGTCCGGCACTGCACCACCATCCTACGATGCATTGGCCGCATCGCAGGACAGCGACAGCGAGCTCCAATCACTTTGGCAGTCGAACACCGCTTTGCAGCTTGAGAAGCTACCAATCTCTGGTACCACAGTGTTCATCTACTGGGATACCTCTGCTGGGAAACCTCGGCCATACATTCCAGCTCCTCTTTGGCTCAAAGTGTTCCAGTCCATCCATGATCTGTCGCACCCAGGGACCAAAGCAACAGCAAACACAGCCATGTACGGCAAGCCACTAAGAATACCAGGAGAGCTGCTAACTCCGACTGCTGATCCAGTGGATCCAGCGCACCCCATCACCCAACTCCATCAATATATGGCCAGCTTCAGACCAATTCCAGCAACACGCTGCGCCTCTCAGGCTGCATTCGTGCACAGCGAACTCGAGAAGAGCATGCACGTTTTCCTCTGGCAGGACACGACTCGCAGAGTGTTGGAGCCCCCCCTACAGCGGCCCCTACCAGGTCTTGTCACGGAAGGAGAAGACAATGCAAATCCTCGTGTGCAGCAGGCCCATCACCGTGTCATCCGATAGGGTGAAACCTGTGTGGGAACTGCCCACATTCAAGCAAGTGTGAGAACGCGAGCTTCATTGCTTAGCAACGACGAGTAAACAGCGGTTGCTAGGCAAAGCCTACAACAATACGGACAGTGACATGTTTTCTATATGTCCGACTCTAGGTTACATAAGAAGATACATTGAGTGGAAGTTACAGTTCCAGTTCTAGATTTCTACAGTTCTACAATTCTAGTTCAGTGTTCAAGGAGTTCCCTATTGTTATTATTATTTATTATTCTTCGATTCTTCAAACTCAGGTTCGTCCACGTATACTGTGCAACTGTAATAAATGCTATAGGACGGTTCAACTAGTGGTTGTCTCTTCATATAATGACATCCCACATTGGTGACCCTGACAATACAGCACAAATAATGGACAGCGGTCGAATAGAAGACCTCCTGCAACAGTATGTAACACACATGGAGAATTTACACGCGTGTAAACGATTGGCCGGCCAGCCTCACCACACACATCAGTTTTGCCTTTCAGTCTTGAACTGTGCAGGCCGAACTGTGTGTGTATGGGGGCCCTAAGAGCATTACTGTTCATGTAGGTGTCATAATATTCTTCTAAAAACTTGAAGTTGAGTTTTTGCAATCATCATTCTTGCAGGTGTGATGCAGATCCAGCAGCCTTAGCCAAATATGTGTTTGCTTTAGTGAAGAAGGATAAGCCTGTGGCTGAATTACGGTCAAGCATGGTGGAGCAGCTGGATGTGTTTCTTCAAAGTGGTATGTTTATGTTTGTTTGACAACACATTTTTCAGACTCCAAACGCATTTTTTTATGAAATGCATTTGATAATTGTGAACTGTGACTGTCGTTTTGACTCGTGTTTCTTTCTTTCTTTCTTTCTTTCTCTGGGTTCAGGTATCTCAGGTAGGATGAATCATGGGTTTGGGTTTCATTCTTGAGATAACATGGCCTTGGCCTAAACTTGGAGGTGAGAAATGTCAAGGTTCACATGGCAAGAGAATTTAAAGTGAATGCATAAGTCCAGGAGCTTCAGTATAGTTTATATAAAATGATAGAACCATTGAAAGAAATGTCTAAGTAGCATGATTCTTCATAAATACTTTGAAATAGAACATTTTAAAATAATTTTCCTAGTAGCATACACTATAATTCAAAGTCTTATGGTCATATTTTAGAAGAATGTTGGAGAGAATTTGGAGCAGAAAATGTAAGTAAATTGTTACACAGTTCATTGCTGTTATTGAATTATGAGGTTTTTCCACTTTTTAAGAAAATGAAATAGTTATCCATTCAGGTATACATTCATTTATTTATGTAACATCTGGATTTATTGCATTTAATTACGTAGGGAGGCTGAGAAGTAATGCACACATGCTTGTAGAGCGCGAACGAAATGACCTTCAGAAGCACGCCAGGTGGCATGTGGAAGTAACATTCCCCCTCAATACGCATGCACAGGTTTGAGGTCGTTGCGTTCATCCAGTGTATTTCGAAAAGCAGAAGTATGGAGACGTGTTCTAGTGCTATGTCAACGTGAGTTAAACATCCTGCTGTTATCGAATTTTTAACTGCTGAAAAAGTGACTCCTACTGAGATTCATCGTCGTTTAAAGGCTGTTTATGGTGACGATGTTGTTGATAGGTCTACTGTAAATCGATGGGTAATAAAATTTCTTGGTTGCGAGCCTGGAAAAGCCATAATTGTTGATGAAACACGCAGCGGACATCCGATCACTGCCACAGACGATAATCATCGCAAACTCATCGACGATTTGATTCAAAATGACCGGCGAATCACTCAAAAGCGTATCACAAACCATATTGGAATATCCAAGGAACGTGTAGGCTTCATTATTGAACAATTGGGATACCGTAAAATCTGTGCAGGATGGGTACCACGCCGTCTCACAGACGAGAACAAACAGCGTCGATTGGAATGCTGCGAGCAACTTTTGCAGCGCTACCGTGACGAAGGAGACGACTTTCTTTTGAATATTGTGATGGGGGACGAGTCATGGGTCCATCGTTACGACCCAGAAGAGAAAAGACAGAGCGCTGAACATCGACATCCGTTTTCTCTTCAGGCTAAAAATTTCAAAACACAACCATCTGCCAAAAAACTTCTTTTGACTGTGTTTTGGGATGCTCACCGAGTTTATGTGACCGATTTTCTAGAATGAGGGGCAACGGTAAATTCTTCTCAGTACATACAGACTCTCAAACACCTCCGGCGTCGAGTTTGTCGTGTTAGAGGCAGCCTCGCGCCAGTAATCTTGCAACATGACAACGCTCGTCCACACACCTCGCGCGCAACTGAAGAGGCTCTGCGAAACCTGAAGTTTGAACCGATTCCACACCCTCCTTATTCCCCCGATCTTGTGCCTTGCGATTTTTATTTTTTTCCTCTACTCAAGAGAGACCTCAAGGGTAATCATTACACCTCGGATGATGAGGTGAAGGCAGCTGTCAAGTCCTATATTCGAGAAAAGTCGGAAGAATTTTTCAGTGACGGAATGAAAAAACTTGTTACACGTTGGGAGAAATGTGTTAGCCTTAACGGTGACTATGTTGAAAAATAAATATATGCTTTTGAAACTTAAGAATTGTACTTTAATGTACTTTTTGCCCGATCTTGCTATTTGTTTTTGTTCGCGCTCTACAAGCATGTGTGCATTACTTTTCAGCCTACCCACGTATAATAAAGAGCAAAGATTCCAAAGTTACTGGCTCTTTAGTTTGAATTTTACGTTACATTTAACAAAAATGTCTGATTATGGAGTGGAGACTCACATGCAGCTTTATGTGTTTGTTAACAAGAACTGCTCAGAATTGCCTCCTTCACCTCACAAGCATGCTTCGCAGTGATGCTAAATGCAGTCCCTCGTAAGAACTAGTAGACTAGGTTGGCCCCTAATGTCTGTTGTTGCAGTCTTGTACTTCTGTAACATAAACTTTTTTTTATGCACTCTGACATGAAAAATGAAATCAAATGGGTGCAGATCAGAACTTGAGGCCACATGACTGAGCCCCCTTTTCTTGAAATGACATGCCATAATGAACATTAAATGGTACAGCTTCCTATAAAAGTAGAACTGCCCCCCCCCAAGTGGTATATTGGATTCCATCAAGACAATCTTTTATCATGTATGGCTCAGTGAGGTAATTGTCTAATATTGCAGCTCAAATATAGAGGCTAATCTTCACTGAAACGAAGAGTATCAAGTAACATGAGAATTACCCAGTGCCCATTCGTCTAGGTTAAGACTGTTTCGCTCCACTCCATATGAGTGTTACTTCATTCCGCTACATATGGCACAAAAAGTTTGGTTCATGTACAGTTTTGTCCAATTAACTTTAGGGAAAGATTGTTCCCTGGCTGTAGCCCTTCTACAAAATGAACATAAGAATGATACAGTTTCTTCTCATGCAGTATATGTCATACTGGACTCTGAAAGACGCCTGTTTCGTGTGCAATCCAAGAAGTGCTAGTTAATGCATTAGCATGTACAGCATCTAAAATTTTCTTATCGTTCTGCATACTGTGTCTGTCACAGCCAACATACATGGTCTGACAATAAAGTTTGCGAACTCAAAACAGTTTTGGAACTTGTTTTGTTGAATGTCCTTCGGAGCTTCTGTCATATTACTCCTAATGTCATCAGTGTCATCAAAATGTACATACTTCATATTTTTATTTATATAGATGATATATTTAATGGTACTGCTAATAGCTCAGATTATACAGTGTGGAATGATAGGACAATTACTGAAGAATGAGAAGGAATAAGACATGACAATATTCTGGCAGTTGCATGTAGGAACTGAAGAGAAATGTGTGAAAACTCAGTCAAGCTAGTTATTCTCCAGGTTGATATTTGAACCTTGGACTTCCTGAATGCAGATTAGGAGTGCTGTATGCTTGGCTGCAATGTTCAGTTCTTGCTTTATATTGAAATGGCAAAATTATTATGTTCATAATTTATATTCTAACTGAAAATTCCTCTTCTCTTTTTTTACAATATAAATAACTTCTGTAGTGACTTACATGTTTATCCAGTTAATCTCATGGGTAAAGACCTGTATCAGGACAAGATGAAAATCTTGTCCATCTCACACAGGAAATGATAAACTGTAAGTATCATTAATTGTAACTGTAAATATAAGTAAACATCATCTTTTCAACTGTAAGATATATAAAGGTCATTGAAATGAAAACTACAACATTAACATTTCACAGACAGCACCAAAAATATGGAAGTCAATCTTCAGTGTAGTCTCCATTATGTTTGACACACTTCCTCCAGTGTTGTATGGTTGTCTTGACCTCTTCTTCTAATGAGAAGTGACATTCTCCTAGTGCTTCTTTTAGTTGCCTAAAAGGGTGATAATCAGATTGCTAATTCTGGTGAATGAGCCAGCATTCTGCAATAAATTTAGCAGGTTTTATTCTGCATTCAGAATGAGTGTCCACCATCTTGAAACTTGGCAGCTTACTAGTGACACTGGCAGATGGTGCCATATTAGTGCTCAGTGTTTGCTAACAGACTTTGGTCATTAATCTGATACAAGATTATCATCATTTCTTGCATATCGTCATGCATTAGTGACTAGACACGGGGTTTGGATTAGTAATTGGATTTATTGAACACATGTAACTTGTGTCTACACATAATTATAACACTACCGCTGATCTACACACTGAACAAATTGATACTGCACCCACACTGCACCTTCATGTGCTCATATCTTGGTAGTGGCTCGCAACAGTGACTTCTTTTGACTCTTAGATGGTTCTCATGACACCACTAGCCTTTGCTGACTTAATACTTGGCTTGTCCAGTTGTCCTAGTTATATAACCTAGACACAGAATGTATAGAAGACACCATCTTCAGAAGTTCCTCAATTGTTGCATGCATATCCATTGCCTTGACACTTGTACATGTTTATTGAGCCGGTACTTAGTAGCGGACAGTTTCTCTTGTTAAATTATTCCCCCAACACTTAAACAGTAATATGCATTTTATGTTGGTTTTGCAGTTTTCATTTGAATGACCTTTGTATCATGCATGGTTGCAGTATGTATGTTCAAATAAAACAATGTTTTCTTCCTGTGTTAAGTATTTTATATGGCTTCAATTTACATTTTTCTCCCCCAGAAACAAAGAAATTTGTGGATTTGCTATTCAAGACACTAGAGACACAGGTTTATGATGTACCAGCTATAGCTACGGTAACCCATACTACATCAGCAGTTGTAGACCCAACAATTACTGCTGAGCCAGCTGCAACCAAGATTCCCATTGCCAAACAGCCAGGAGAACCATTACTATCAGACTCACTAAATACAGCAAATCCACCAAATACCCAGTCTTTACCTGGACATCAGGTAAGTATTTCTGTTCCACATCAACATTTAATGATGTGCATGTTTTATGCAAGAAGTTGATTTCAAATGCAAATCAAACTATTCATCTGCTAGTAAATTTTAAGGGATTTTGATGACAGTGTACGAGTATAACGTTTAGAATTATTGGTTTTTGGACTTTGTTCATTTGCTGGTATCCTAAAAAAAAAAAAAGCACAACATTTCAGAAACTGGATCTGTTTCCTTCCTCAGGTTAGGGGGAGACACCTACTCTATTGGGTCCCTTAGAAAGAGCTAACTTCAATCGCTACATAACCCATGTCAAAGTCAAAGTCACATTGCGACTGACGGTCAGTCAGTCAGTCAGTCAGTAAGTCTTGGTGTCAAGCCCCATCTGGAGCTCATGACCAGATATTTATTACCGTTTGACAGTTACTGTCTTGTTTCTGTGGGGCGCCATCTCTGACGAGAGGACGGGTCTTTCTTTTGTATATGCTGCTGGCCCTTGCCAGTGCAGTCTTTTTCGGGTCTGAGTCCCTTAGTACTTGTCACCATATTTTACTGTCTCAGATTTGAGACTTCCCTTTTGGTCGCCTCCTATGACTCGCAGGGTCAAGGTGGAGGTATCTGACCCCACCTCCACACGGGTGACTCCCCATGTCAGTATAACTACAGCTATATAAATACCTGAGACCAGGCTTTGTCAAAGGGAGATAATAGGAAAATATACAATAAAAATATGATGAAGCATGCACAAACCTGAAAGTAATATAGAAAGGGAGGCAAAAATTTTATGCAACAAACCTAAACAACATACCAAGTCCATAAAAATCATTCCATAGGATTAATGGAGAATTTGTTGAACCAGTCGGTGCTTACTGCTGGTACCATCTATAGAGTAAAAACTGAACACTCGGGACTAAAACATTATATACGTAAGCCCATGAAGAATCTGTCACGTCATACTGACCATGTCTGTGAATTGGTAACCTCATTGCTGATAAGGGGGATGTAGATATGAGAAATATCCGAACTGGGTTGGCTGATCCGTCTGGTTAAGCATGCCATATGGGACAATTCCTTGTATTTCCTATGCCTGTTACTTTCGATTTCCGAAATCCTAGCTTCATCCCAGCTTGCCTTATGACCGTCTTCATAGGCATGTTGTGACCCAACAGAGTATGTGTCCTAGGTGTCTCTCCCCTCCCCCCCCTCAACTGAGGACTGAAACAGATCCAGTTCCTGAAATCCTGTCTTGTTTTTTTAGGATGCCTCATGATGGACAAAGTCCAAAATCCCAGTAATTCTGAGTATTCATGCACCAAAATAACGTGGGTTTAATAGAAATTTCATGGATTTTATCTTGTTTTACCTTGAAAAGAGAACTACAGCATGTGATTTTAACACAAACTAACACAGCATAGCAGTTTTAACATAATTGAATAAAATATTTTTAACATATTAAGACACCTGAAGATGACCGTTTGGGGCTGAAACGTGTTGTGTCAAAGTGTACAATATTAAACTAAAATTAGGAGTAAGTGCAGAATAAACAAGTGTTGCAATATTGACGGACGATAAATACATGAACGTTAAGTTAAACATATACAACAGGATGCTGAAATACAGAATTATTCATCTGCTATTGAGAGGTATTCTATGTAATATTTTTTGTGTTATGGCCATATACTAGACAATTTCTGCACTAGGTATTAGAATTATCTTTTCACCATTTTGTCCTAAGCAGTTCCAAGTTATTTCCTCCCCTAGCAAAAAAAAACTCTGTGGCCTATAGTCCACAAGCAAACTATACCAACCGAGCGATCACCGCTGGTCGGTGAAGTTAGTGCCAACATTTGCAGATAGAGGGTGTCGTGTGGTCAGCCCAACGGATCTCCATGGCCGTTATTCTCAGTTTTCTAGACCAGAGCCGCTATTTCCTTGAAATTGCTCCTCAGTTATCCTCACTAGGCTGAGTGGACCCCTTTCCAGACCCACTACTTCTCAGAAAAGCTTAGTTCAGTGAAAACTGGTGGTGAATAGCAGTCAGTGTTAAGTTGATTACCTTTTTGTCTACAGCCAGGGCCTACAGTGAGTTAGTGCCAACTTTTGCAGATAGAGGGTGTCATGTGGTCAGCCCACAGGATCTCCATGGCTTTTATTCTCAGTTTTCTAGACCAGAGCCGCTATTTCCTTGAAATTGCTCCTCATTTATCCTCACTAGGCTAAGTGGACCCCTTTCCAGACCCACTACTTCTCAGAAAATCTTAGTTCAATGAAAACTGGTGGTGAATAGCAGTCACTGTTAAGTTGATTACCTTTTTGTCTACAGCCAGGGCCTACAGTGAGTTAAGCTCTTCCTTCATTCCCTGGTGCTTTATGGCATAGTGCTTAGCAACAAAGATAATTTTACTCTGTATAGCCAAACCCCCCGACACACACACACACACACAGACACAGAGACAGACAGTCACAAATACAAACACATTCCCTTGTGCATACATGCAGATGTGGACACAAACATGCACAATGGTATTCGTATTTAAAGAATATCTGGGGAACAGATTTTCTAGCAGTAAGGTGAGGTTTTTGCTAAATGGTGGTTATTCAAAATTACAAGAAGAATCTGTTATTTTATTAGAATTACTGCTATAATTATGATAAAATAATTTCTTTACTGAAATATTAAATTGTCACTGAAGGAATAAATACAGTTAAATAATCAGTATTATGAAATTAATTTCTAAAATAATTAGTGAAATATAAAATTAAAACTTTGATGAGGCTTGCTTGAGAATCAGAGCCAGTATGATGCCATATGTGGCGTCGCTTCACTACATGTTCCATGTGTGATGTCATTTACCAGAGATTATGACGGTGCGGTAATAATTTGTGGTGGGGAGAACATGAATATTAATATTTATTTTCACAGCAGTTACACTAAATTAAGTTATGAGCACTGGAAGGTTACAAATTTATGTCACCAAATGTGGTTTATTTTGTAAATATGGAAAAATAATGCACTAGGCTTTGTCAGGGCCCAAAAATTGTTCACTAAATATGGGATTTCATTAAATTATGGAACAGAATGGTTTTCTCTGTGTATGTGTGTCGTTTCTAAACAGTAATTCAACCCTCTTGGTCATCAGCATGTTTCAGAATATTTTTTGGAAACTGGTTAAAGTTCATTTTGGTGTTTGTATTGTTTTAGACATATACACATGAAACTAAAGTATTAGTATGTGCAGTGCTGATATGTTTGTGCTAGTGAAAAGTGTTAATTTTGTACTTTGCTCGTCGTATATAATTGAGGTGTATAGCTGCCTTCTCTTCATAAGGGAAGTGATTTGTGGTAAATCATACACAGGTAAATGATGGACCAGGTGAAATAGTATCTAAAAGGAGAGAAAATTGCATGTAAGAGTAGTTTCACAAAGAATTGGTGGGAGTCACAGACCAGTTTAAAGTTGAAGAAAGCAGTCTTCTGGGATTTGGCACTGTGTATATGTGGTGTTAACCGACGTTTCGGAGGAACGTATGGCCTCCATCTTCTTACCGGTTCTCACGGTCTCTTCACTTGCGGATTTCTTATATTTTTCCTTCTACCCTAAAGATGGAGGCGATACATTCCTCCGAAACATCGGTTAACACCACATATACACGGTGCCAAATCCAGAAGACTGCTTTCTTCATAGTCACCACCGTGAAAGCCTCAAATCTTACATACAGTTTAAAGTTGATTAGTAATTGTGAAGTGCTTTTCATCACTGCCTGAAGGGTAAGCCAAGCAGGCTTTGTTTGCTTCCTCCTTTATGCAAGTTTCTTGCTTGGCATACTTATCAGTCCTGAAGATGAAGGATATATGTTCCTTCAAAATGTTGGTTGTCTTTCAATAGACTACTGTGAGAACCACAAATGCTAGAGGAATTTGCTTTCCCATTCACTTTTGTTAGGAAATTTGGCCATGAAGTACTAGTAGTGGGTTTATAGGTGCTTAAGCTGCTGTGATTGTTCATGCCCATGGGCTGTGAATAGTTTATTATATACATGACTTGATATCATTTTATTTGGTCCTCATCTGTAGGATCAGTTCTTCCTTCATGCTCCAGGACATATAAGCACATTCAGTGAGTAGTTTATCCTTAATAAGGCAATAAAATTGTAACTCAAGTTAAATTGTACTCATGAGACCAGGAAATTGGTGTGACTCAGTCAGTACCTCTTGGTCCACACGTGTGAAATAGCATTTGTGAATTTGACAGGACCAAAAGGCTTTATCTTATGGACATCATCATCATCATCAGTAATCTGTCAAGACGACAGGTCCACAGTCTCTTTCAAAACAATTCCTCCACTTAATGCGATCTAGAGCTTTCTCCTTCAAATGACAGTACCCTCTTCTGTCCCCAAGGTCATCCAGCATCTTCTTACGTCTTCTTGTCACTTCTATCCGCCCATCTATCTTTCCTTCGATAGCTTCTTTTAGAAGGCAGTTTCTGCGTAAAACATGACCAATCCAATTAGCCTTCCGTTTTCTTATTTCATGTAGGATATTCCTCTGCTCACTGACTCTAATTAACACTTCTTCATTTCTCACATAATCGGTCCAACTGATCTTCTCCATTCTTCTCCAACACCACATTTCGAAACTTTCCAGATGTTTCTGATCTACTGTCCTAAGTGTCCATGTTTCAGCCCCATACAGAGCTATGCTCCAAATGTAGCATTTCACTAGTTTCTTCCTCAAATTTAAGTCCAATTTGCTGGTAAAAAGATTCTTCTTCTTGCTAAATGCAGCTTTTGCCATGGCAATCCTGGATTTAATTTCACAAGTACACCTTCCATCATCTGTTAACAAGCTACCTAAATATTTAAAACATTTCACATTCTCCACTTGTTTTTGGTCTATCTACAGGGCTGTACAAATATCAGCAGAATTCAAAGTTTAGAAAAAATGTAACCAGTTTTAGTTTTTAGCTCCTTCCGTTTAAGCCAAGTGGCTGAAAAGTGGAATTTTGAACAATAGAAAACTCAGAATAAATGCTTGTTTGGAATTGTCCTGTTATTTCTATAACTTAGTGAGCCTAGCATTTTTTCAGTGCACTGGTTTGTTAATACTATGAAATTGCTTTATTGTAGGTGGTGGCAGGTGTGACTTCACTGATGAACTCTGTGCAAACCAATGGAACCATTCCTTTGCCAGTACACAAGCGTGATTTGGATCTTCAGACACGTAGTACACACAGGAAGTCTGATTCAGTAAGGAAATTTGTACATAAATACTTTTATCTTTTCTTAGAAAAGCCAGGAAAATTGGGGCTGGTGTGTATTGTTTTAGAATACCTGTATCTTTACAGAGCAGAGTGTAATGTCAGCAGTTACAGAGTTAGAGCACTTTGAAGTAATAGATGGGAAAACTTGGAAATCATTCAGTTGTTGAAGTAGTTGTCTGAGGGCTGGTACAATCAGGAATGTTTGGTGTAGTGAGAATTTGTACAATTTGTGAGTACTCAAAATACCCAAAAATGGTTGAAGTAGATGATCTTCAAGCCCACCTTCAGCACTAAGTCTTAAAATCCTTGTACCACAGTATTTATATTTTGCCACAGATTCATCAAAAAGTTGAATAAATGCTTCATGTTTCTGCATCTGTCTCCCTGCATGTGGAAGGATAACAAGAAGTTCTGGGAAGAACTAATTGTCTACTTTCCTTTTACTGTAATTTGAGTAACTGATGCAATAAACAGAAAGAAAACTTCAGTATGTATGCATGTATGTATGTGTAATAAAGCCAGTAAAACAGTACAGTTTGGGAGGCTGCAGTATTACTGATGGGAGTGATTTAAGAATACACCATTGAGATGCACTCAGGTGGTATGGTGTACGTACCAAATCTCATGGCTATTGGTTCAGGCATTCAAGTAATAGCAAAGGTGTTACTTCAACAGTTTGAGAGGCTTGAGTGCTGGTATAACTGATGGAGTGGAATTTATGATGTATGCCATTAATGGCCTTAGTGGCATGACATACTTATGAGTTTCATGAAGATTGGCACACACATTCAAGAAATAATTAGGTTTTGCTTCAGAGATTTGAAAGGCTGTAATGTTGATATTGCTAGTGGGAGCAATTTATGAAGTGTGCCTTTGAAATGGCCTCATGATATCATGATATACATTCAGAGTTCCCTGACAGTCGGTTACTGATCAAAGGGATTTATGAGATATGACATTGAGATGATTGTATGTGGCATGATATATATGCGAAGTTTCATGAAGATTGGTACAGATGTTCAAGCATTATTAAGATTTTGCATCAGAAATTTGAGGGGCTGTAGTGTTGGTATTATGGATGCAAAAGATTTATGAATTACATCATTGAGATGAGCCCAGGTGCCTTGATATACGAGGTGTGTTCAAAAAATGATGGGAATTTCCGTATTTTGGAAAAAATATTTATTCATTCGTCTACATTAATGTTGTCGCCTTCAAAATAGTCCNATTTTAAAATTAATATAGAATCTCCTAATTGATTTATGAACTAAAATTTTTGGAGAATACTTACCAATGCTCCTAGAAGTGCTTGAGAGTGTGATATTTCTGGAAACATTCCCCTTTGTGAAGTGGCATTACACAGAACTTGCAATGTAGACAGTCATACTCCTTTTTTTTGTGAACTGTGCAAAAACGGCATTACCTAGAAGGATGCTTCCCCTTGGAATGTTCACTCTTCACAATTTTCACGAGGGTATGTTTCCGCATATAACCCAAGAGTTGCCCTGGGGGTCCACATGAGGCCTGCGTCAGGAGGGAGTTGATGGGCCTGGTTACCCTAAGTCTGTGTCTGACTCTGGTTCTGCCACCACCATCTGGTCTGTAGCCCAGGCCTTTGCCACATTCATCAGAAATGCTTTATATTTCAATTTTGAATCAGGGTTTAGATTTTTGTGATTTTTTTTTTAGATTTTTTGCTGTCCCCGCAATCTTACTACCCGTATTTTCGTTGGAGCTACTGTCACTTTTACTCTCTGTGGCCACAATTCTTTGTTGTCCGCTGTCACTGCCACTGCCACTGTCTGAGTCACCATCACTACGCGTTTCACAAGGCACGTAAGCTAGCTCATCGGAGAAGAATTCGTCCTTGATCATATTCCGCTACTAACTTACTGGCTGTTACAAACAGCTTGAAGGCCGACAGTTCCTTTGGAATGGGTTAAGATAACAGCGAGGTCATGTTACTGAATACTAAGCAAACATTCCGGAGTCTTATTACCCAGTAGTCATGCAGCTGCATGGCAAGAGAGCAAGGTATAGTGTGTTGCAACCTAACGTGTCCTAAAATCATGATATCATGCGACCTGTCCTCCACGTTTAAAAGCGAAAAACATGATATCATGTGACCGGTCCTTTATGTGTTAATAAGGACATGCAAGCACTCACACAGAGAGAGAGAGAGCAAGATGGACTCATAAGCTTACTTTTATTTTTTCAACATAAGGAAAGGAGGCTAAAAATCAGATACTGAGATTCTCTGAAGGTTTTTTCTTTTAAGTTTTCATTATATCAAATTGTTTTAAACTGATGTGATTTCAGAACATGGTTCTATAGAAGAGTGAACTTCATTGTTAGTACGAAGATTATTGTCTTGTGGGATATGATGCCATGTAATCTGGTAGAGGTTTCTTGATGTTTGTGAGGAATGTGCTACCACTGTGATCTACCCTGATGATGGAGGTAGCAGCACATTTCCTCTGAAACACCAGTAAACATGTACCAAATTTAACATTGTCATTTTTCATAGTCAGATTCATTTCTAGTACTTTATGTGAATTAACACCAGTAGCACATTCCAGGCTGTAAAAGTATTGTTTTGTTTCTAAGGGTTTGAAGCATGCTCTCTAAGAAGAGTTGATAGCTGTCATAGTTCTGTTTTCAGAATAACCAGATATTGTTAAACAATAATTGTTTTATAGGATCATATCTCTCTGAACACATTGTGGACTAGTATATTATGCAGAAACTTTCTGTATAATGTATTTTGAGTCTGATATAAAGTTTTGTAGGCAACAAATGCATTGAACAGAACACAGTTAAGAAGATGCAGCTTTTTTTGGATCAGTTTGAAAGAAAATGAGGATTGATTTGCTTGTCCCCACATCCACTTCTACTTGCTGAAAAGATCTTCATGTGAAAAGTTATGTTTTCTTTGCAACACTAGTTGAGTGAGGTTTGATTCCATGTCTGAGAGTGTCAGTTCATGTCCACAATGTGTCATAATTATTCCACTATCAGAGCTTGTAAGAGTTGAACTTGGTACTTGTACTTTTACTTTATACATGATTTATCATGCAGAGTAGAATGAAGAACAGGATTCTGTCTGAATATTTTTTTCTATTGCAACCAAAAATTATAATATTTAGCAGTTATCCTCCTTTTATCTTCTCTTTGATTGATAAATCAGTTAAGAGGATATGACTGTGGTGACTGTTCAGTCTGTGTCAGAGAGTAACGTTTATCATAAAGATAACTGTGTCACACCAAGATCATATATGTGTTTTATTCCTCTTTATGTTGAACTGGAGTTGAAGGCTTGTTTTAATTTCCCAGACTTTGCAGTTCATTTTAGAATTCAAATGCTGCTTCTTCAAGCAGTTACCATATTTGTTCTAAATCAAAACATAAATTTACTTTCTTGTGTGTTTTTATTTAATTGATTGGAGCTTTATGTAAAAGTTGTTTCATGGTTCTGATGTAGGACAAAGATGATAAAGGTCGCATTGGAGGACGAATTCGACATCGCAGCTCTCGGTCTCCTTCAAGAGGCCGATCTCGGTCCCGTTCTTGGGATCGCACAAGGAGGTCACGTAGTCGGGACAGGGAGCGTGAAAGAGATCGGGAAAGAGGTCGAGAGAGAGACAGGAGTAGAGCATGGCGAAACAAGTCCCCTCCACCCAGAAGATATGATAGGGATCGAAGGTAAGAAATGTTACTACTTCAGCAGGAATGTTGTCTCTAGATATGATGGCATCATAGTATTACTTTAATTTGTTTTCTTGTACGTCACTTTGACAGTAGCATAAATGCTATACTGCAAGTTAACAGGTAGGTAAAGATAAAGTTGCCTGTGCTTTAAGCATCATGCAGTGAAAGGGTGTAGAGTTAAACTTTCATGCATTCTAGACCTTAGTAGCTTCATGGTCTGGCCAGTCATGGAATTAGTATTTTTGTTATAAGGCTCTGTGAAAATCACAGTCTACATAACCTGTATGCAGTGTTTTAATCATTGTCTACTTATTGAACTAAAAATGTTCATGCTTTCAGAAGTGCTGTGAGACCTTGTTTTTAACAGAATTTAATAACATGGAATATTTTGTAGAGCTGTATGCAATTTCTTGTCATTAGGAGGAGCTGGTCTCGGTCCAATTCTCCTGCAGTTGCTGCTGGTGCAGGTCCCATAGTTAAGACCCGAAGCATGGGGGCTTCACGTTCTCGGTCAAGGTCACCTCACTACAATCACAGAGGACGCTATCGTAACAGATCTCCACATGGGCGGCTGTCCATCTCTCATTCACGTTCTCGTTCTATTGGTAAGCTGTTCTAAACAGTTTGTTGTGCAGATAAGTTTTACATAATGGGATAGTAAACACAGAATTTTGAAATCCAACTACTCTATAAACCAGGGTATGTGATAGCTTTTGTAGGCAACCTTATGGAAGAGATGTCCTGTATAAGTATGTTTGAATTTCCCAATGGTGTATAAATACTGGAAGTATGTTGGCAACAGAATTTGGTAACTTCAAAATGATGGCATGATGATATATGAGGGAGAGTCAGTAAATAGGTCACAAATGGATATGAAATGTAAAACTTTTAATATTCAAACATGGAAAGAACATTTATTTCTTGACATGTCCTCCACCAACATTGATACACTTTTCCCATTGCTTCACCATTTCATTGAAACCTGCAGCATAGAAGTCTTTTGACTGTTATCTCAGCCACTTTCGCACTTCTGTTTCAACCTCTTCATCATCAGTAAAACATTTGTCACCAAGGTTGTTTAAAGCAGTCCAAATGGAGGGAAGTCACTAGGGGCCATGGCCGGACTGTAAGGCAGATGTTCAAGAACTTGCGAGTATAGTTCTTGAATTCTCTTTGGGGTTGCTTGTGCTGTATGGGGTCTGGCATTTTAACCTTTATTGTACAGACTTTTAAATTGCCGGCAGCCCTCTGCGGCCAGTATTTAAATCACCCTAATTAATTAACATTGCAAACTTTCAGAAAAAAATCCATATTTTCCGTTCTATGCAACATAGAAATACAAACTAAAAACTGCCTGAAAGACAATAAAATTTTCTATATATACACTAAAGAGCAATTTTTACAAACGAAAATTAACTATGATTATTTTGTCATGAATTGCAAAATATAATCTTTATTATATATGATATGAAATTCCAAAGGACTTACCCATTGTTTTTTCTTCAACCTTGAATCATGGTGATATTGTAAATATAATCACACTATATACAATAATATTACTATACGCGAGTTTGAACTGCGTCACTTCACAGTCACTTCGCTATGATAGTCACACTGATGCCTGTGGCACTTCTCGAAGCAGTCCACCTCACACAGAGCAACATCACAATTTTTACAATAGAAGAGCGTGCTCCTGCTTTTCTTATTTAGCGAAACACACGATGTCTTTGTTTCCCTTTGGTTAGCCAGTGTTGTGAATGTTTCACCTCCAGTCAACTCAGTTGGGCCCCCTGATAACTTCGGCCTTCCCCCGAGAAATGTCACTGATCATGATATTTGGCTTGTGCGATTGAAGAATCATCCTGGGGGAGGGGGGTTTCTAGCAAAATCAAATAAATTATGTTGATTAACAAAGCGACACACTCACCTGTTGGTAATACTCGCAAAATAGGAATGCAAAGTAATTATAATGCTAGCCGAAAAGCGTGCCAGTCCGACACTGATACTGAAAGTTGCAGTGGCGAAGATGCCTTTTACTCACAGAGTAATACTAGCTCAGTGGGTTTATACCTCTTCCAAGATGCAAAATAAAAATGATATATAAAGAAATATATGACAGTCTGACTCTGACTTTTTAACTGATAAAGAAATATTAGACAATCCGACACTGACTTCCTAACTGATAATTTGTCACTGAAAACCAATCCTTGCATGCATCACACTTCCTTGAAAGCTCTACAAGCACTAACATGCGGGTACAGATGAATATTTACTCCTCAGTTCTCAAAATAAAGCTTAGCTCTATTTGGCTAACCAGGTCATAAACAGTCATATCTAAACTTAAATAGTATCAAAACCAGTACTGTGATAAACGATTTCTTTGTTCAGAGCTAAGGAATGAACCACTGACATGACCTCACCTAGGTTTGTTTTGGTTTCAAACCCAAGGTCAAAGTGTCAGCACTCCTAAAGAGTGCACGTGTTCTGCGTCATATATAGGTGTCATTTGGCCAACTCCAGTTGCTGCTTGCGTCATATATAGGTGACATTTGGACGTTAGAGGTTAATCATGAAGCAGTACCCCACTTACCAGTTGGCCTGGACATTTTCTGTGCACTGGATCCCAGAGCTTCAAACAGAACTCCAGAGTAGGTGCAAAATTCACATTTTCACCACATTTCTGAAAATGGGCTAACAGTACTCCCTGAGAATCACAAAAACTCTGTAAGCATAACCTTCCCAACTGATGGCATAACCTTATACTTTTTGGTTGAACATGAACTGAGATGTTTACATTGCACTGAAGCATGTTTTGATTTGGCTTGTTAGTGTTGCATCCATGATTTGTCCCCCATAACAATCCTATCAAGCATACAAGTATTGTCTTCATCTGCATAATAAGAGATGTTGCAAGGACAGAACCATTTGGTATATTTTCTATCAATCCTTCAGTTCTTTGAGTACCCACCTTGCACACAGTTTCCGAAACTTCACACAGTCATGCATTATGCTGTGTGCTAAGCCATGGGAACACCCTAGTGCAGTTGCTACACTGTCTATCAATATTCTCCTCTCAGTTTGAATCAACTCTTCTACTTGCTGCACAGTTGCATCTGTCACAATCTAAACAAGGCGAACTGCAACTTTTGAACATCCTTGAGAAAATTTCTTGACCCAGTTATGAACTGCTTTATGCAACAAACAGTTTTCACTGTAAACAGGATACATTTCTTTATGAATATTTTGAATAGAGTCCTTTTTCCCATAGAAAACATGCAGCAGAATGCTGCTATTCGATATTATACTCCTGAAGCTCCATCACTATTTTGACTACTGAAAGCAGCCTTTGAAGATGTGCATGCATGTCTGCTACCTAGACTTTTTTATTATGGAAAAAAAATATTGTAAATACAAAAGGGCCTAGGCAGTGCCCTGTCCATCATTTGTCAGTTTTCTCTTTTTGTAGAGAGGGCACGAGATAAGAAGGAACCATTGTCAGGGGCTGGTACCCCCACTCAAGACAGTAATCATGGAGATGTGGACATGAGGCTCACAACTACATCCCAGAGCATCCAGAGTGTAGTCAGTGCTGGTGGTAAGACAGCTGACAGTGTTACCAATTCTGGAGCTTCTCTGCTGCCTGGTGTCTTTCATCCCAAGAGAAGATGTCGAGACTTTGATGGTAAAATTAATATATTATTTCACTGATTTGTAATGATGGTAAGGAACCAAATTTTCATGCTACTTTCACCCTCTTCTTCTGTTTCAAAGTAAAAAAAAAAACACCTTTTCACTTTAGTTCTTGCATAGGAGTCTTCTTAGGTGACATAGTAAGTTGATGGGTGAATGATTTTGGATACACATGTGGCACAATCACAGATTCAACTAGCTGTATTGTAATTATGGATCACTAAGACTGTAATGGCATCTGCATGAGAGGATGACGAGAGAACTGTCATGTCATGTATGTACATTGCAACTTTGTTTTGAAGTAACTTTATAAAAAGGTAAATTTTCTTTGAAATTTTTGCTGGTTAATGAGAATTCCAGATCCTTGGATATGGGATAATCAGGAATTAACTGTATTATGATAATATGTGAAGTGTATAGAACTATCTTCTGTAAATTGGGAACATTGTGTTGTAAGTTAAGAAACATTTTCATATAAATGTGTCAGCAGTCAGTGCTCAAATTCTCCCTGTTGATTGCATCATGGTAGTCTTCCACTTTGTATTTGGAACATTAAACCTTCCCCAGAAAAAATAAATCCTCATGATCTCCCAGCATGCACAGTAACATGCCTTGTTTCTGTTGTTCTCCTCTTGCTAGCAGACTGGTTGGTGCCTTTCTACACATTTTTGAGTCACTGCCATTGGTTAATGCCCGGGTTTCATCCAGGAACACTACCTGATCTGGACTCTCTAAATTAATATGTTAAGAATAATTCCTGATAAACATAATATGACTAGCAGCAATGTAGAGCTGCTATAGAAGTCTGTTAGACAGGGCACTGTATTGTCTGACAATGTTGACACAGCACTTTGCATTCTACAGTGTTAACATACTCCAGAAACAGTTCCCCAGCTAACTGAATTCACAGTGGCAACTGATCACTTCCTTTTCCGGTGTCATTCCTTTATGTTATTACATTCATAACTGAGGTCTTCAGGAGCCTGTGAAATAGCCTCATGCAATATTTATTCATTCGCTTCCTTTCAATCAAATCAAAATGAAGCAGCTGGTCCTTAAAATCGACCCCTGTCATTGACTGGTTGTGATCCAACACTGAAACAGGTTTGACTATTTCCTTGCCTCTAATTATAACAGTCTGTTATCATGACTGTGATATGTGGAAAGACAGCTATGATTTTTGTCACTTTTTTATGACAGATTGGTTCAGAATGCTGTGCTATGATTTCACTTCTTTTTAGTTTTGTGTTTTTTGCTATTATAGGAACATTCTTTCAGGCCATTTTCAGTGTCTTGCCTAGAGACAGTGAATTATAGAATTTATCTATCCACACAGTCTGGCTTTGTTCCAATTGAGGTTCTATCAGTTTTAGAACAATGGCTTTTATTTTATTGGTGTCAGCTGTGATCAAGGGGGAATCAAGTTTTGTGTTCTTGCTTCTATATACAAAGACAGACTATGTACCCTATGGTAGTGTCACACAGCTCCATAAGTTGTAATTCCAGATTTGGATGCTTTTAGAGGCAGGTACTGTTTGAAAGACAGCCTTTCCAAAGCATCAGTGACTCATCAGTTGAAATGTACTGGTTTGGGAGATACAGTTCCAGAAATTTGTTATTCAAGTGTGCAATTATTTGGAAAATTTTTGAGGCCTCCCCCCCTCAAAATTACTGATGGGTTTCATTGTTAGCGAAATGCAAAAATTTGTATATTAGTTCCAGTCTGTCTTGTGTTATAATCCTGTTGTGGAAATTACTCTTTTGTGGTAAAATATGGCCTGAGAGTAGGTTTCTAAATAATGCCCATAAACATAAACAGACCCAATACAACATAAATTTCTCCCTCTGTTACAGGTTTCCATGCCCCATCACGCAACCTGATTTATAATTCACTCCTGCATAGGAACAACTTTGTGTATCTGCTTATTTCTCTGACAGTCATTTTTGTTAGTTCTCTACTGAAAAAATTTTAAAATATTCAAAATTTTTGTCACATGTTTTGCAGCCCCTTGAGATACAACAGTGCCCATGAAATTTTCCCTTTGCTTTTATAATAGTTTTCCCAAACAAAGTCATGAATAATAATATCATCATCACTGCCTTCATTTACCACAACATCAAGAAGAACATGATCTTCCAATTCATTGTCATTGTCAGATTTCAAATACAATAAATTTCCTTCTGATTCACTTAGAAATAAATATGCTCCCATTTCTACTTCATAATGCAACACATCTCATCACTTGCTGGCACTTGCCTTGGCTTCCACGTTGTAACTGCATGATGTGTATTTATAGAGGAAAGGGGAATGTACAGTAGAAGCATACATTGTACATGTATAGAAGTGTTATTTCCTATATGGCATTCATAACACACTTCTTTTGAGTCAAGATGATATGTGAGGTTCAAGTTGTAGAAACTGTACTTTTTGTTACCAATACCTGTGTGAAAGTAGCACTGTCTGGATCATGAAATAAGTCTTACAACACCCCAACAAAGTTGGTTTTTGTTTTGAGCAACATGCAGAGACAGCACACAGTCGATCACTGTTTTGAATAGTATCGATCTAACATATTTAGTTAACAAGAATGCCCCAGGGTGGAAATAGGTTTCTACAGTAAAATAGCTTACCAACTGGTATGGTAGAGAACTTTTTCAAAGAATTCAATTGTAATGCAATTGTAATGCCACGGAAGATGAAAATGGGACTGACATATACGAAATGATAGCCTATAATTTCTTCTTTTATTTTGTACCAGAAGAATTACTTTACATGAAAAACAACAGTTAAAAATAAGAGCTGGACATTAGCGCTACACTAAGTGTGCTGTGTGTGTTGGAGGGCAAAAAATGACATTGAAGGGTTGAAGTTATTGGGGTGCAGCTGCATCTCATTAGCCTATAATTCTTCCACCATGATGGTGGAGATAGTCATCTCTGAAATGTTAATATGGTCAATTTGATCGTGTATCTTCCCATCAGGAGATATCCAAGTAAATTTATGGATGTTATGATGTGGGAACATTGTACTTTTAACAGTAAGATTTTTTGATGTGGCAAAGTTTACTGCTCTAACTCCAGTATCATTACTAATTTCATGCAAACTCTCATTCCCAATCATTGGTTTGAAAATGTCTTCCCTCCCTACTTTGGCATTGAAATCTCCTACCAGAATTTTTATAGGGCAGGCACTATATTTACATTTACATGGCTGATCACCCAAGAAGGGACCACCTCTGTGGTCTAGTGGTTAGAGTTCCTGGCTACAGATCCAAAGATCTGGGTTCAATTCCTGGCACTACCAGATTTTTTCTGAGAAGTAATGGGTCTGGAATGGGGTCCACTCAGCCTCGTGATGATAATTGAGGAGCTATTTCAAGGAAATAGTGGCTCTTGTCTAGAAAACCGAAATTAATGGCTGTGGGGATTCGTTGCACCGACCACACGACACCCTCTATCCGCTAAAGTTGGCACTAACTTCGACGACAAGTGGTGGTCTCTCGGTCGGTATAGTTTGCTTGCAGACTAAAACCACAGAGTTTGTTTGTTTTTTGTTTGATTACTCAAGAAGACTTCACTGTGAATGGGCACTGTGAAAGCTAAAGCTTCAAATGAAATATAAGACACAATTCTTTTCTCCATGTTGACTTATTACAGTACACTTACTGGAGTTAGTTCATTATTTAGAAATATAGATATGTTTACTTGATTCACAAACATCCCTATATTGAAAACCCTCGAATTGAGGAATCAGATTTCATAATCATTTTAAGCAATAGGGATAATTATAGTCTGTGTGTTTTAGTATTTCTTTATTTTTTATATATTTTAGTTTTTAAAAAAGATGACAATGAACGCCTGTGAATTAAATTCTGATGTTTGTTTCCTGAGTTTATGTGTTCTTAATTTTGTATTAACCCTTTGGCGCAGTCATTTAAATTCCGCGGCCGCGTCTCTGGCGGTAATATATTCAGCCGGCCATTTAAATTTTGCTCGAAAATGATTTATTCATCTTTGTTCTTAAATTCTATGAGATAGGAACATG